TGGAAAGTCGGGTAGCTTCAATGACAATCATGCAATTCAGATTTTTAAAAGGTTTCTCTGACATTTACCAAAATGACGACACATTCTGCAGGTGACCGAAAGAAGTCAACTCGTCGAGTTAACCTCCTTTTCAAACCAACATTTCACAGGAAACTGTTATAACAAATTTCCCAGAGGAACCTACCCGAGGGATTAATAAAGTTTTTTTATCTAATCTAACGGAGTCAGACCTAGAAGACACATCAATATATCAACATAGCATTTGTAATGCTGGTACGATAGGAGACAAAGAGGCTCCTGCACACCATCTAACTTGCAAGAACATATTTATTTCCTTTTTGTATAGCCAAAACTCTGTGTTTTAAACACTTTGCTGCTTCATTTCTTATTTAGATTATTTCTTACATGTTTCCATGGGTTACAGTGGGATTTGGCAGGCTGCAAAACCCTAAGATCCACCGAAGCAGTGCAGCATGAGCTAATGAATCACTTACTGATAAGTTACAAATTAATTTTCATTGTGAGTGCCATTAGAGTTCCTCTCTCTTTGTGGGTACAGGCTGTCAGCTGATAGAGTAACTGTTTTTTGTGATTTTAACATGACCTATGAAGCGGTTATTTCAACACCTGGCTGGTATAAAGGCAATATGAAAGGTAGAATTTAAGCTAAACAGCATCATCAGTCTGAAGTTAAACTGACAGCTGCTAGCCTCGATCCACCTTGGTGGTTTTTAAACTTCAGAATTACATTTTTTTTTAATCAAACTGTGTTAAATTTCACTTAAATAAAGGTGAATTTCATCAGTGCAAAAGCATCAGCAAAGTAAATTTACCTGAGTTTTATATCATATATTTCACCTGGTTACCCATCTCCACCACTGCTTCACCTAATTTAAGTGGCCACGAATACCACAGCCTGCTCTACAGCAGCACAGTACTGTACACTGGATGTAAACGCTGCTAACATAGCAGTTTAGCCTGCACTGAACTGTGTAGTATTTTCATACCATTTACATAACACAAAATGATTCCAATTCAAGTTTCACAACTTGAAATAACCATTCAGCTACAGCAAAACATCCTGCACAGATCTAGCTTCTGATAAAAAAAACAGAACAAGAACCATTAACATAACAATACATGTAAAGCTTTAAATTTCTAGCTTGTCAACGGTCGCTCTCTGAGTTCATAGCTTTTGAAAATAACCTCGTCATCCTCTTATTATTTTTCTCCATCTCTGAGAGCGATCTTATTACAGATTCACTTTTTTCTCTCTCTGAAACATAGCAGCTGTATCTTTAGCTTGCATAGCCAAGCTGCACAGACAGTTTGTGTGTTTATTGCTGAGCTCTTTGAAATTACCTGCCACTTTAAACACAGTTACTCCATTTATGCTACAGTACTCTTCCTAAGTAAGTATCTCCATGGCATCAGCTGGAAGGACCGCCAGACTGCAGCACATTCATTACTCATTAACTAAAGATGTGGGAATGAAACTTTAACCCCTGCATGTTTCCATGGCACAGAAGCACAATCACAAGCATTTCATCATCTTCTTCATAACTTCTGCAATTCTTTGTGGCATGCAGGATATCAGCTTTTGAGATCTGCATGATCAGAGCTCTCAAGCCGATCACAGATTTTGGGCCTCTGCTTGTCCACTCATGGACAAGTCTCGGTCGTTGTGTCCTTGGGCAAGACACTTCACCTACCGCCTACTGGTGATGGCCAGAGGGGCCGATGGTGCGATATGGCAGCCTCGCTTCTGTCAGTCTGCCCCAGGGCAGCTGTGGCTACAACTGTAGCTGCCTCCACCAGTGTGTGAATGTGAGACTGAATGAATAGAGGAATTGTAAAGCGCTTTGAGGGTCTCGAAAAGCGCTATATGAATGCAACCCATTATCATTATTATTATTATTACTTTTCATGAATTGACTATCCTACAAACGTCCTCCAAGCCCAACTTCTTCCCGTGATCCAAGAGCAATCTGGTGGCATTTTTCCAGCATGATGGAGCAAAGTCCATCAATAACAATCCCCTATGAGCAAGCACTTGGTGAGAGGAAAGACTCGCTTTTAGCAGGAAGAAACCTCCGGCAGAACCAGGTTCAGGGAGGGGTCATCTATTTGAATCTTATAAAATGCTTATTATTGTTCTTCATAATATCATAGAAACATGTAAAAAAAATGCTAATAATCTATTTTTTTTTAAATGAAGCAGCAGTGTTTATGAAACATTTGGGCACAACCCAACTTTTAGAAGTCACATTCCCTCGGAGCTTCACAAGACATACATATAAACACATTTTTAGCATACATAAGTTCGATTAGATTTCACAGGCCATACAAATGTATCGACTCTTGTTTCTTTATAAGCTGTTTCAAATGAAGCTCCAATAAAATCTTAACATCTCTCGATCTAAATGAAAAGCTCACATTTATATATAAACCTGCATGCTTTTGTGCCTTTCTTTTTACATTTCTAGCTTTATTCATTACACAGGGTGTATCAAAAGGAATAATCTGTTGTCAAAGTGCTTTAACTGTTCAGTCGTTCACCTGTAATGACTGAAACACTGTTTCTTTAAAAAACACAGCCTTTCCAAATTGGATGACTCTTGTGATAAACCCTGTGTAAACCACACTGATGCCTGGTGTTTATTTATATGTCCTGTGTAGCACCTTGAGAATGTAATTAGCTGAAAGGTGACAGAAGCTTCCTGTTTAAGATGCTTCTCTTGAGCACTGACATATATTCTTGCAAGTTACAACAATGCATGGAAGCCCATCTGCTGTCTGTTATTACAATTTCAACACTCGGTTGAGTTGTGTCACCAAAGTAACACTGCACAGATATATCAGATATAGAGAGTATGCTTTTTTTTAAGACTTCCCCTATTTGGTTAAGAGGGTAAAAAACAGACGCCTGGCTTCTCCATGCTTAGAGTGACAAACAGAGGAGCCTTCCAACAGCTCCAGTTAGCAACAATTTAAATACACTGCAACTGTTTCTAAAACTAGGATCACAGGTCCAAAATCAACCTTTAAAAATCTCTAAAAAAGAAACAAAAAACTGCTGATTTTATTGATGTGCACTCAACTCAGTGCTGTAATCACTACCGCTGCTCCTGACACGCTTGCTGCAAATGCAGCGTCTCTCCGATGTGGATCCTCTGGTGTCTTTTGAGGTTCTCCCCTCGACTGAAGCTCTTTCCACACTGGCTGCAGTAGTACGGCTTCTCCCCCGTGTGGACCCTTTTGTGTTTTTTCAGGTCTCCCGCCTGACTGAAGCGCCTTCCACACTGGACGCAGCCGTACGGCTTCTCTCCTGTGTGGCAGCGCTGGTGGATTCTCAGGTTCCCGACCCTGCTGAACGTCTTTCCACAGACCACGCACAAGTGGAAGCCGTCTCTCCTGAGGTGCTCCATCCTGATCTGTCTGCCGTCCAAACCGGCCCTGGTGTTCTTTGCTAATCCATGCCTCCTGTGTGCCATGTGATTTGAACGAACAAAAACGAGTCCATAAGGCTCGGCGCTAGCTTGCGGCCTGAGGGTCTCGGTAGAGGTGTGACGAGAGGAGTTGCAGCTTAAATCCATGCAGCCGGTGTACTGGGATTGAAGACATGGTTGTTGTGATGACATGCAGTCTGTGGGCTCTGATTCACTTTTGATAGCAGCCATGTTTAACCCAAACAGTGCGCTGGAGTAAGGGTCTGCGCCGGCGTCCCTGGTTTCAGACGGCATACGCTGCCCCTCTAAGTTGTGCGTTGCATCTGCCAGCTGTACTTTGTGGTGGTCTGTGGACGTTTGCGCCAACTTGGACTCAGCTTGTGTCTGAATACCGCTGTGGCTCTCTTTTTCTTTAGTCTCCTGCTTCAAGACATAGTTGAGCTGGTTGCTGTTTTGCTCTGCGAGAGCAACAACATCCGAGTCATGCTTCTGAATGATGCTCCGATCCTGCTTCACTGTTGTGTCGCACTCCTCTGCTGATGGCCCACTTGTAGTCAGGACAGCTGTGAAATTTGCAATCATGAATAAGAGACCTTAAGCAGAACAAAAATGTTACATAATCTGTAATAATAAATTCCTCACAAAAATTATATGTGTTCTCATGGGTGCTTTCTTTTGGTATCTTGTCCTGGAGCTCCTGCAGTCTCCTCTTCAGACTCTCGTTCTCTCTCTGTGTCCTGGCTGTTTTCTCCTGGTACTCTGACACCGTCTCCTTCACCACCTCCAGAACCTCCTGCACGGCTTCGGTCAGGAGTCTGGCCACCCGGGCGTTCAAACGCTCAAGTTTAGACATCCTGAAATGAAACACCACTTATGAAAACACATCTGTTTTTATATATTAATTAAGGGGAAATGTATGATAAGCAATACCGTTGATGCTACCGCTAGGTGATTACACTCATCAACCACCTAGTTAGGTACACCTGCTTAACTGCTCATTGTGGGGAATATTTTTTTTGACCTCCTTAATACCAACCAAGCATAATTTAAACACCACAGCCTACCCGGTAATAAAATCTATGCTATGAAGAATTAAGGCAGTTCTGAAGGCAAAAGGGGGTCCAACCCGGTGCAAACGAGGTGTACCTAATAAAGTGCCCAGTAATTGTATATGACAGCACTGATGGGTGCAGTTCCCTGTAACCTGTTACTTCAAACAACGAATTATAGCCACCTGTTGTTTCATAAACTAGTGATTAGCTGTTGTGTTATTAAACTGTCAACAACGCAATCAAATGATTTCCTACTACACTTCCATTCAGCTACATTCACCTTATTTTGGTCCGAGATTTATTTACATTGTAAACAGGCAAAATGATGGTTACTCATCTTCTAGAACCTGAAATATGTGGCAGTGTTATCTTGTAACTGTTACTAATATCAGTTTTAGATACGAGAATATTTTTAAATCTCCAGGAGTACCTGTAAGCTAGTCCCGAAGTTAGCTTCGTATGTCAATGTTTTCCGTTTAAACATCCCAGAGGTCCAAACACTTGGTCATAAGGCTATCGTGTTAGCAAAAATATACATAAATAAAGCGATTTTAATGACAAGTAATGTATCCTATCAAACTTGTAAAGACAATTTATAAATTAAAAAAAACTGACAACATGTAACAAAGCAGAACCACGAACAGCAAAAACAATCTTTAACATCCGGAAGCAGAACTCTGATCACGTGTGCAGAGGGGTTGTTTTCAAAATAAAAGTCCGAGTGAAACGCTTCTGTCTTCTTCTTATCATACAATAAATTGTGATATTGTGAATTATTTCGTTATATTAGGCCATCCTGAATCCTTAATTGTTTTGTGACATGACAGAGCCAATAAATAAAATATCACATATCTATATCTGAAGTCACAACAAAAGCATGAATACTGTCTCTGCGCCACAAGAATTATTACAAGAAGCCAAAATTAGGACCCTAATTGTAATCTACTCCTAACAGTGGCACATTATAAAGAGATCAAATTATTTTTTGAAGAGAACTGAGTTCATCCTATTGCTGAGGTTCTCCAAAACAGTCTCAGTTTTCCATGTGGGTCTTTGGTAACATTAATAACCCATACCTGCTAAAGAAATATATTACAACATCACAGAGTAATCAAATTAAATAAGTGACTCTGAACTGAATAAGTAGAAGAGATTCCCATTGGTGGATATATTTTAGAAATGAGCTGTGGCTTCCAGTAGGTGCCTTTAAGGCTGATGATTCAGAACAATACAATTTTGGTTTTGAGACTGATTCAAAACAAATTGTGCACCAGTCTCAAATATTGCAATGGACCACACAGAAGGACCAAAAGAATTTGACCAGCTAATTATTTTATTTGGAGATCACAATACAGAAACACACTACAGACTCCATGCTTCAAAATCTAGTAATGGAACAAACAAAATCTGACCAACAACAGCAGCTCAGGAAAACACAAGTGCTCCCTACGAGGCTCTCTATTCTGTGAAGAAGGCACATTAACCTCTTTATATGTTTTTAGCTGACCTCGAAAAACCCACCAGCCTTCACAGATGAGTCTGCTGGTGCTTCTTTAAGTTACTTGAGTGACTGAAGCTTTTCCCGCACTGGCTGCAGGCAAACGGCTTCTCTCCTGTGTGGTAGCGCAGGTGTACTGTGAGATACCCGGACTGGCTGAAGCGCTTGCCGCACACCGAGCAACAGTACGGCCTCTCCCCTGTGTGCACCCGGTTGTGTTTCTTATAGTCACCTGCATGCCTGAAGGTGCGACCGCAGAGAGAGCAGCTGTAGTGTTTTCGGACGTTTCTCTGCAGTTTCTCTGCTGAGGACGAGCAGCCCACTTCTGTGTTGGTTTGGTTTTCTTCTCCAGCATCGTTTCCACTGATGTGTCTCGCTGGCTCCTGTACGCCACGTTCTGAATCAATGTAGAAAACTGCAGACTCACCTCCGAGTCCTGCAGTGCTCGTTGATGGATCGCAATAAAAATAATTCACAATACGCAAGCCATCGTTATCTGATGCAGGCTCTACTTTCGTTTTCTGGTCATTTTCAGAATGCAGAGGTGCAATGAAGGGTTTTTTGTGGTTTAATAGTGAGGCTGACTGTCCATCATGTGTCTTTGTTTTCAGATTTCCCAGGCTTTCTGTTGCACGGTCAGGGGAAAGGCAGGAAGCACCTAATGACTCAGTGTCTTTATCAACAGGGATGACCACCTCTTCTTTCTTTTTCATGTCTGCTGGGATGGATGCAAACATTTCTGGAACCAATCCTGCAGGAAGACACACATTAAACTACTTTTAAAAAAAAGAAGTTTAAATCCAGCTGTTTCACCACTTGTACTCACAGCTGGATCCTTTGTTTTCTTACCATTGCTCTCCAGGTTAATTCTGTCTTGCAGCTCCTGCAGTTTCCTCTTCAGACTCTGATTCTCTCTCTGGGTTCTGGCAGTTTTCTCCTGATACTCGCACACAGTTTCTTTCACCACATCCAGAACCTCCTGCACGACTTTAGATAGGAGCTTTTCCACTCGAACATTAAGACGCTCAATTTTGGCCATCTTTAAGGACTAAGAAGACAAAAAATTAAGGAGCATATTTAACAGACTTTTGCAGGATGCAACATGTGTTATTCACATTTCCACTTAGATAAATGAAAGAAATAATGGCGATTGGATATTTATGCAACAAAGAATAAAAAAATAGCAGAATGTATCATTTAAGAGGAAAGCAGAAAAAACGGGAGTGCATTTTACTACCAGTTATTAACAAGCCGAATGCTCACATACCTTGAGTTTAACGTGATCCCATGAAGCATGCGCAGTCTCAACAGCCGCTCAAACTGCAGTCGTGAATTGTTTAAAATATTAACACTCATGCAGGTAATCGTTTCCCTTTAAAATGATTCCTGCAGGTAGATTAAAAATGGCAGCCAGTGCGTCCACCGAACATCTTTGTGTGAAGCTTTTCCTGCTGTAAACCGGGTCAGGTGTTAAAACGGTTTAATAAACAGCGCGATAGCAATAAAGCGGCAGCGTCCCCTTCATGGATTTGAAGCGTTCCTGAGGCCCGTTGCTGCCACCTACTGGTAAGGGCTCAAAACATAACGCCACAAAGCTGTACTGCGTTTACTAAAATTCAAATATACTGTACCTCAAACATGCACTATGAAAAATGTGTTTCTGTTGACTGTCCTATGGGCTCAAATTGTGGTCATAAATATTTTGTACTTGTAAATCAGAATGCGTATATTTGTGCTGTAGATAAGAATTTGTCTGTGTGTAAGAAAAAAGATTTGTGTGTGTAAAAATATTTACAAGTTACAAGTTGTTTTTGTTAAGGTCTGGTTACAGATACAATGCAAAAAAAAAAAAAGTTACGTGTGAAACTCTGCACTCAAGTTTCAATTTACAAGTGTGAGTTTTGACCAGATTTTTCTTCCTTTCAGCTGATTGGACAATGTCTTGTCAATCACAAATTTAACTATCCAATCAGAGAACAGATGACTACTCTCAAAGGATAGCCTGTTATATCAAACTGTAATGTGCACAAGTCTACAGAACAAAGAAACACCAGTCATGTCGTATTTTGAGGTGCTTTATAGTCACAACATGCTCCACAAGTTCAAACTCTGCTAGCTTTGTTTTGTATCTCACGAGGTAAACAACGCAGAGTCACAGTCACGAGTCGTTTCAGCAACTGATTACAGTGGCACAAACCAAAAAAGAAAGAAAAGTGTTTTAAGGTCTGAGTACACATCCAACCCTTTCCCCTAAATTCATTTTTTGTTTCAAATGCACATTAAAAGAAGCTGTTACAAAATGGCAAAAAAAATATTTACAAGCTAGTAAACTCATTACATTAATACATTAGGTCTTTGTCACATTACATTTTTCACACAAAAACTCTGTCCATGAATGAGATAAAGGCAGTGTTGTGTTCATCGTTCTCCCTCCAGAGCCGTTTCTTCGAACAAGCTCAGCAGGTTCTTTGGTTCCAAGCTGGGTCGAGGAGGTACGGCCTCCTCCACTTGGACCCAGTTGCGCCCACGCCGCTGTGAGGACTTGGTGGATGGAGAGTGCAAGCTCTGGAAGGGGTCTGCGTCCAGCTCGGCATGTATGGGACTCACTTTGGGTGTCAGTGTGCGGCAGGAGCCATTAGTGTGGATGCTGGAAGGGGTCTGAGCAAGTTTACATGAGAACCACCCACTAAGGTTTGAGTGAGTGGGTGTGTGGGCAGGACTCTGGTGATAGCGCATTGGCGAGCCCGGGAGAGGTGTGGATGTGCTCTCTACATACAATCTGGATTTTACCCTGTGACATGAAAACAAAGGAAGATAAAAAAGGAGAGTTAAACAAAACAAATATACTCACTTAAATTTTTTCTTCCATCTTATTGATGTGATAATTCTCTACCTTTGTGAGAAGGTGGGGGACAGTTCTGGGTCTGTGGGATGAAAAAACACTGCATCCTCTTCTGGGGTCACAGAGTCAGTATGCATGGCACTGAGAGGCAGGGTTAAATCCCTGTCCCAACTGTCTTTAGGAGGAGTGCAGGGAGCTGGATTGTTCCAATGAGGGAGGAAGGGCAAGCGAAAGAAGGAGAGGAATCTACACCCAAAGGAGACTACGATCTATGAAGAAAAGAAAGTATAGAAAAATGTATTTGTCAAGGTTGAGGAAAGTAAACTTTAAAGGCTAAAGTTTGGAATTGGCCAGGCTAAATTAACTTCAGGACTGATTCACTGGATTAGAGATTTTCTAACTGATCATCTGAAAAGCTTTGTATTAATCGTGTTTTATTTGGTGAAACCATTGTTAGTATGGTGGATCCTCAAGGGTGTGTTCGATCACTATTGTTATTTTCTGTTTAAATGACATGCAGGGAATGTGAAAATGTTAAAATATGCTGATGATTGTCTTTTGTTTTTATAGGAACTCTAACTATTTTGTTCAGGTTCATAGGTTGAAAGATCTTGTTTAAATCTTGTTATTTGTTGATTAATGTCCACAACATGTGTTTGTCTTGAATAACACAGACCCGATAGACAGGTTTTCCACCTTATATACCATATATATTGATATATTGATGGCAAGATCAACTTTATGATTAATGCTTTATCCATTTACAAGGAAGCTAATCAGAGATTCATTGTTATCAGGACGTCGAGAGGTTTCGGAGTTAGGCACAACGTTTTGGAAAGAGTTTGTCAGCTTGATTTTACGTTCAGTATCTCAGCCTGGTTTGGTAACCTGACTGTGGCAAACAGGTACACAATAACAAAATAAACAGGATTGTCAGCATTTCTGGAAAAATGATTGGTTGACAACAAACTTCATTGGCTAAGCTGTGTCATCAGACTATCTTCAGGAAAGCTCGGTCTATTGTTGCTGACCGTGAACACCCTCATTATTTTGACTTTGAATTAATGCCCTCAGGACAACTTTATAGGGTCCCTCTAGCTAAAGGGGTATAAGGGATCATTTGTACCAAATGCAATCAGCATGCTAAATAATAAGATGCTGTGGTGTATTTCTATAGTTGTATTGAATTTATAGATATGCATATCTATGAATGTGGGCCGATAACTCCTAGGATTCATGAACTGATTGGTTGATTTGTGGCTTGGTGAACCGAAAACAGTTGCCCATTATGTGGACAATAAAGTTATTCTATTTTTAATGCTGTGGCATCCTTACAAGGACATTTTACTAAACTGTTAATCAAAATAATCAATCCTAAAAGATTAATATTTAAAGGATTTAATGATTCTGTTACCTGACACAGGGAGGCCAGTGTCAGCATCGTCTCAGCAGCCATAAGATACATGCGTCTCCTCCACCTGCGTTTCCTAACAGAGGGGAGGGCAAGAAGCTCAGAGACTGTGGGTCTCTCAGACGGCTCTGGGGCCAGCATCATCTGTAGGACTGTCTGAAGCTCCTCTGACAGGCCTGCAATCACACATGGAAGTTTAAAAGAAAAATCATTATATCAGACGAGGAAATTGATGAGGCCTCCTAGAGCAGATCTCACCGTTGGTAAACTCTGTGGGGAGACAGCCTCGCCTGAGCTGCTGCCACCCCTCGCCACCATTTGGAACCTCGATATTACAGGCAAGCTCCAGTATGGAAACCCCCAAACTAAATAAAAAAGGATGCGATAATATTTAGACACTTATTTCAAATCAGATCAGTCAAATCTGTACATAATGAATCACATATGTACCTGAAAACATCTGCAGCAGGTCCATACTCCCCACGCAGCAGCTCGGGGGCCATGTATCTGGGATCACCCTCCTGAACATCGTCCTTTGATTTCTCCCCTGCAGCTCCCATGTGTCTGAGCTCAAGCAGCAGCCCGAAATCGCCTAGCTTCAGACGACCAGAGGCGGTGATGAGGACGTTGGCGGGCTTGAGGTCCAGATGCACGAAGCCATGAGAGTGTAAGTGCTGCAGTGCTGAGAGGAGATCGCACAGGTAGGCCCAAGCAGCAGGCTCATCTGTTTACAAGCAAAAAACACAAGTCAGCATGAACGAGGATGTAGAAGTTTTATACAAAATCACAGCTGATTCAAACTGTTTTTGGGCAGACCTGGGCCAGGAGGCTGGTTCTCAGCGTGATGCAGCAAGCTGGTGCTGCACAGCTCTGTCTGGATGTAGAGTCGGCCGCACTCCTCCCAGGCAGCCACAAAGTTCAAAATATGAGGGTGAGGACACAGGTGCTCGTGATTCCTGGCTTCCCTGACGCTCCGATTCCTCTCACTGTTACCCCTGAAGCGCTGAGCAGAGCGTTTGACTGCGTATTGACGACCATCTCTGTTGCTTTGCACCTGGAGAGAGAAAAGAAAAAATCCAGAAATTACAACATATGGAAAAATAAACAAACAAATACTTAAAATCCTGAATTTTCCAGTTTCCTTGATGTGAAGAAACAGCAAATACATTATGTTATTATATAACTCTCTTTATTTAAATCTGTGTTTTGCTCACCTTGTAAACTTCTCCAAACGATCCTCTCCCCAGCAGGCCCAAGTTAGTAAAGCACTGATTGAAGTAGGACTGCTGTTTGCTGGGATCATACCCAGAATTTGGAGATTTACTGAGGGAATTAGACAGGGGTGTCCAGGGGGATTGATGCTGAGGAAACATTCTGCTCAGCGGGGGGCATCCTTTAGACGGTGGCAGCGGAGGCAAAGAATTTGAGAGACGAGCAGGGGAATAGTAGGATGAGTTTGACGTAGACGACGAGGAAAAAGGCAGCCGGCGCTTTTTCAGAGAGAAGGACTGCTCCGCGTGGGAGAAGTGGGTTGGAAGAGGGAGAGCCACCCTCGGCACTGTAGTTTCCACTGCCACAGACATTGTGTCGACTTTTTCTGTTCTTTACTATAAAGACAGCAAGCTGTAACAGTCAAGAGTAAAAATTGTAAACATAAGCAATACATACAGCTACATATATGTAGATGTGGTGAGAATTTTACATACACTCTCCTTTCATAGTTGAATGATTTAACAGCATACATCTTAAGTGGCTGTAAAAAAGAAGAATTGGGTAAACGAGTTTGGATTTATTTTAGATTTTCTCTAATACACACAAGGTCAAGAGTATATTCCGCCACTTATATTTGGTTAAATGTCCCTGAGCAAGTTGCACCTCGATTAGACCCCCTTGGTGCCCATCAACAAGCATCTGGCATAATTGTGGTTGGATATCTGACCACTCGTCTTGACAGAATTCATTTAAATTAGTTGGTTTCCTGGCACAGACTCTGCTTTTAAGCCTAATCAGTACATTTTCTACAGGGTTGATGTCAGAGCTTTGGGAAGGCCATTCCGGACATTCCGGGTTAGCCTGCTTTATCCATTCCTAAACCAGTTTTGATATGTAATTGGGATCATTGACAACACAAGTGAACACACAGGATTACAGAAAATTCCAAATAAATTCAAACTTGTGCACCCAGTTTTTTATTTTTGTTTTTGGTAATTAAAGATGTTTGCTGCACAATCCTTCCAC